TTAGGTATTATAAGTAATGTAGAGGTTGTTCAAAATATGCAGGAGGAGGCCTGGTGTGGTGACTCACACCTGTAATCCCAGCACTTTGGGAGGCCAGGGCAGGAGGATCACAAGGTCGAGAGATTGAGACCATTCTGGCCAATATGGTGAAACACTGTCTCTACTAAAATTGCAAAAATAACTGGGCCTGGTGGCACACTCCTGTAGTCCCAGCTACTTGGGAAGATGAGGCAAGAGAATTGCTTGAACCAGGGAGGCAGAGGTTGCAGTGAGCCGAGATCACACCACTGCACTTCAGCCTTGTGACAGAGCCATTTTACATAAAGGACTGGAACATCCAAGGATTTTGGGGTCCTTGGGGGTTCCAGAACAAATCTCCCTCAGGTACCAGGAGGAACAACTGTATATGTATGATGTAACTTTGCCCATCCTAGCAATACCAGATTTGTTCAGTGATAGACGCTTGACCAAAGCTGGGCCACTTACTCACTTCTCAGGGAGTGTTAGAGTTGGGACAGATGGAAACAGATGGATCATTTTGAAACAACTGCATTTCAGTACATAAATCTCTGAAGGCCGTGATGACTATTTCACCGTGAAGATTGAGAGGTAGAGGAAAACAATTTACTAAGAGAGAATAAAACATATGCACAGAAACGCAGAGACCAATTCTTCCTTCCAGCTTATTTTTGAGCCCCAGCTGCATTCTATATGTTGAGCTCAGTGAAATACTCATCATCCCCCCTGTTTTATTAAACAACAACAACAACAACAAAAAACTGGATCAAGCTGGGATTTTTGCTACACAGAGTTACAGAGGTCTTAAATAATATAAGAGCCAAGGAAGATAAGGAGGTGAAGTCATGAATTGACATCTTAATAAAAATCCAAGATCTAAATTAAAAGACTGAAATGTAATTGGTAGAATTTCAGAGAACAAAGATTCAACATACTAGATCTAAAATAGAATCAGAGTTCTGCATTCAACTAGTCCAAACGTGGCAGCAAGGGATAATGGAAGGAGCACCGGATGGAGAAGGAGAAATCCAGGCCTAACGCCATAGAACTCTGTAGCCTTGAATAAGAATGAACTTCTCCAAAGCTGTCTTCAGAGAGGATAAAATAGGGCAACCGTGTCTGCTTTACCATGCTTGCCACAGAGGAATTTTTTAAGGCGTGTGGCAGTGACCAGGTGCACTCAAAGAAATGTAAAATACTATTTCCATGGAAATTGTTGTTACAGCTGCCTCGTAGAACCTGTATTATGGCACTGACTCTCTGGGGTGAAGTGCTTTTATGTTCAGCAGCTGACTGAGCGGCATAATATAGCAGGGGCCACGGTAAGAGATGTAGGGTAAGGCTGGGGTCCTTGCAGGGCCTCTGGGTAGCATGACTTCAGGGGGTGCCATGGCTCCAGGGGGTGCCATTCTTACTCTGGTTTGTAGGAATGCGTTCTCTGGGATGCAACATAGAATTCCATGTGCATGAGGCCCTCCAGAGTTGTGCAGGGTGGCAGTCTTGATCCCGGGGTCATATCTAAAGAGAATGCCTTCTCATGCTCTAGTGCTGGCAGTGGACGGGAACATTGGTGAAAGAAAAAAACAACCTTCAACTTGAGGAATTCCCCTGGCAGCTTTGTCCAGCTGTGTTGTCCAAACCTTTGGGAAAAGGCTGAAAACATTAGGAAAAGCATGGGTCTGGCTGGTACCTGAAGGCACGCACCCCATAAACTGTGTCAGCACCCCATAAACATGCCACTTTTAATGACAAGAGCATGTCCCTATTCACCACCATCATTTATTCTACCACAAAATCTCCTGGAACTTTGTTTCCAGAATTCCTTTTATCTTAACCATTAAACCAGCCTTGGAGAGATATTGAGGTCAGTTGTCGTGGACCTGAGTCATATCTCCCCCTGACCTCACCTGAGCAGTAATCGAAATAGCCACAAAGACTGTTGAATAATGAGAACAGCCTTGTGGCAGGTTTCCTGATCGGCTGGCATATATGGAAACCTGGACCCATCAATCATCCTGTAATGGTTTGTAAATGTTCACTCTGGAATAAGGGTACCTTGAAACATCTGCTTTGGTGAGATAATGAACATAGGTAGGTGCCTAGAAGTTAGAGGTCTATTAAAAAGACAGGCACACAAAATGGGAAGAGGGTTGCACAGCCAAAGGTACACTTAAAAATGTGATGATGCTATGGGAATTGTGTCGGATGACTAAAGTTGGGAGTGGATCTAGGGTTTGCAAAACCAACACAAAACAAAGAAAAACCCAACTAAATCAATAATACCTCAGTACAGTCCTTAAGGGAAAAAAAGAAACCCAAAACAGAAAGAACAATGAAAAGGGATTTTTTGGGGGGAGGGGGTGGAGATGGAGGGGGAACAAAAAGTATGGTTCCCTGACTGAGTGGGAAGACCTGCTCCAGAGCAAACAGAGTCTTGTCCTATGAGGCTTCCAAGTTCCTGATAAGGAGAATGGTCTTCAGACAGGCAAGCCCAGCAGGCTGCTAAATGTTGTGAGAGGCAAGTCAGTCAGCTCTCAGATAAACTGCACTGGCTCAGTCACAGCACCCAGTACTGAGTGGGAATAATTTGCAACTGTGAGATGGAGGTAATGGAAGCAGTCAGCCATTTTTGAGAAATGGTGGAGAATGGCAGATGGTCCAAACATTGTAGGACCATTCTGTCTTGATTTCAAAAAAGAGAATTCTGACAAATATAGAAGACTAAGATTGATGATCTTCTGCTTAATTTTGGAGTGGATTCTAACATGGTATATGAACCCTAGAAGTAGACAAAGTCTTGTTGATTTTGGAATCACATGGACTCATAATAATAATTCATTTCAGTGCAACCAACTCTTCACCTTTCACTCTCTCTCTCTTTCTTTCTCAAGTTAGACAGATAAGGGAATTCCAGAGATAAAGTATGCCAACTTCCTTTAAAGGCTTTTGGTATCTCTCGTTTTGTGACTAAGACGAAAATTATGAGAAATAAATTTACATGTAATCATTAGATCAATGTATTCATGTAATATATTAATATATGGTTATATTTATAATAAATAATATATTAGAACATATTGATGATAATTTAATACTATATATTTATATAAAACAATGAAAAATATTTGAATTAGACGGAAAAATATATATATAGTTAAGTGGCTAAAGAGCTGTTTAGTGGATTAACCTCAACCAGAGGAGGTGGAAGGGTAGAGTGCAGGATTTAAGGGAACCATCAAATTTGAGCTAATTAGAAGTGCAACCCCACCCTCCCCAGAATTACTGAAGAGAATCCCCAGGGATGGAGGCTGAGAATCACCATTTTTAACAACTCTCCAAGTGATGCTTAAGCACACTCACAAGTCTGTATGTTTAGACCTGACTTCTCCCCTGAATTCTAGACTTGTATACGCAACACTTTTCAACATCTCTATAGACATCTAATAAGAATCTTCAACTTAACTTGACCCCAGTGGAATTTTTTTAACCTCTCAAAACCTCCTCTTCCTTCAGTAAATGGCATCACCATCCATTCAGATGCTTGGCCTAAACCTAGGAGTTACTCCTCTTTCCCTCAAATCCTCTGTTGGCTTTACCTATGAAAGATATCATGATTCTGCCACTTCTCACCATTGCCACTGCCACCAATCCTAGTCTAAGTCAGCGCTATCTCTTCTTTGAGCTACTGCAATGGCGTTCATTGGTTTCCCTGCTTCTACTTTTGCCCCTTGTTCCTTCTTCTTAAGGCAGCCAATCTGATTTTCGATACCCTTGAATATCATCTTTCTGCAAAGACAGTTGATCCCCAATTTCTTACGTTGGCCTACAAGAGCTTCATCTGGTTCCCAGCTATCTCAGCTCACAGGTCACTCTCTCACTCCCATGTGCTAGCTACCCTGGCTTTCTTTTTGTTTTTTGAGTGCACCAAACTTGTTTCTGTCTCAGGGCCTTTGCACTTGCTAAACTCCTTTGCACTTGACATGATGGCCTCTGTTTCATCATTCAGGCTTCCCCTGAGGATCGCTTCCTCAGAAAAACCTTTCTCAATGACCCAATTCACTCTCTACCTCATTACTCTTTTATTTTACTACCTAAAATTCTTATTGATCTATTTATTTTCAGGTTCATTATCTGACTTCTTGACAGAATATAAACTCCATGTGAACAGGAAATTCGTGCCTAGAACACTGCTTAGCACATCACAGGTACTCAACAAATATTTATTGAATGAAAGAACCACTGGTATAACAGAAGGAACCTGGACTTTGCAATCAGACTTGGGTTGAAATCTTTATGCCATCTTGGCTCACACTTCCATCCCAGTACCCCTGTGCTTTATATAACAACCTGACCCTTTTGAGGTTTCTGCTACCCTTTTTCCATCATGATTTTCATGTAACTCATTTACTGAAGACTTTATCTGCCTCATAATCTTCTTCCTGTCTCCAAGGATTGACATGGCCCTGGGGGACTTCATTGTCTCACATAGTTGAAACAGCCAGCATCATAGCACAATAGTTCTCAGCAGTGGCTGCATGTTAGACTCATCAAGGAAGATTTCAAACAATATCAGGTTTGAGGTACCTAGAATCAGATTCCTACAATAGTAAAATTCATAGAGACAGAAAGTAGAATGATGGTTTCCAGGGGCTGGGAGGCGGGGAGGAATGGGAAGTCACTGTTTAACGAGTATAGAGTTTCAGTTGGGGAAGACAAAAAAGTTCTGGAGATAGTTGATGGTGATAGTTGTACAACAATGTGAATTGTCTGAATGCTACAGAACTGTAAATTTAAAAATGGTTAAAATGGAATATCTTATGTTACACACATTTTACAACTAAAAAAAGCAAGAAACAAAATATACCTCATTGTCCAGACCCATGGGCATTGCTGGGGATAGAACTTGGGTGTCAGTATTTTTTTAAAACTCCCCAGGTGAGAATGAGGCTTCATATCCACTGTCCTCTCCTCTTGTTCCCTACCTTCATGACTCGAATGTCCTGCACCTGTCCTCCACTCCAGCCACTCGCATCCATGGCTGCACCAGGAGTCATCTCTCTGGGGCATTTAAATCCAGCTTTGTCCTGTGATATGGTTTGGCTCTGTGTCCCCACTCAAATCTCATCTTATCCCTCCCATAATTCCCATGTGTTGTGGGAGGGACCCAGTGAATTGAATCATGGGCGTGGGTCTTTCCTGTGCTGTTCTCATGACAGTGAATAAGTCTCATGACATCGGAAGGCTTTAAAAACAGGAGTTTGCCTGCATAAGCTCTCTCTTTGCCTGCTGCCATCCATGTAAGATGTGACTTGCTCCTCCTCACCTTCCACCACAATTGTGAGGCTTCCCCAGTCATGTGGAACTGTGAGTTCTCTATTAAACCTCTTTCCTTTGTAAATTGTGCAGTCTCAGGTATGTCTTTATCAGCAGTGTGAAAACGAGCTAATACATTCTGTGACTATACTTTCTCTCCTTTCAGCTCTTCTTGTACCCTCACAGTCTTAGTTCATCCATTCTCCCACTACTGAATGTTTCTCCACATCCTCACCAGCACTTTTGTTTTCTGTTTTATTTTTTATAGTAGCCACCCAAGTGGGTGTGAATACACATTGTTTTTAAGCCCTAGTTAGTGTGGAAGAAAATGAATTTGTGGTAAGCCTCTGTGAAGTTGTACTGCTTTCTCAAGATAGGCTCAGGGGTCCAGTTGTAGGAGCAAGGAGCTTACCTTAGTTTGTGGGACCATTGGCTCAATCAGTGAATAAAGTGGGATCATTAAGAAGCAGTCATTCTGGAAAGGACTAAAATAGATATTTCTCATAGCAACCGCTAAATAAAGGATTCACCCATTTTGTAATGAGGCAGGATAAAAACACACTGTTGTTTCATTTATGCATTATCTGTGTCTGGTGCTACATGAATTTATGGTTAAGTTTACTCCAGGATCTATAAAATAGCACGTTGACTCTATTAATGGGTCAGTCTCGTAAGAGAGCTCAGTTTTTCACAAGCTTCTTTTTTGCTGTCTTCAAGAACTTTTGACCAGTGACCCCCCTTGGCTGTTGTTCAAGAGAAGTGCTGGAGTTGGATGGAACCAATGAGCATGGGTGCCAGACCAGAGCTGGTTTCTTCCAGAGAGCCTGGTGGTCTTGCTCCCTATCCTCCAGAGGCTGCTGTTCTTTCCCAGCATGTGACGGGGCCTCTGTGTGTGGTAGGTCTGATAAACATCACACAGGGCCCGTGGGCTACATCTGGTATAGCATCCAGATCAGAGAAGAGTCACTGCGACCAGTCTGTGCTGGTCATATTACACATGGGCTATTGGGGTTTGTGCTGAAAAGACTGTTTCAATGGGAATTTACAAAAGGAAGTGTTCCCAAAAGGGACAAATAGAAGGTCAGGGTCTAAAACATTGAAGGACAAATGATATTTCGGTTAGAGAGGATGAGGCTGGTGGGATGGGTAGGAAGGGAATGAGCTGTAAGAAAGGCCTTCAGCCCTTTAGGGGACCATGAAGTATAAGAAAACATGACAATGACATGATGCTTCAGAAAGCAGTATTGGAACAAAGGACTAAAAGTTACAGGAAAACACTTTGAGTCTGTAAGGAAGATCTTTCTGGAGCTAAAAGCAAGACGGTGAGCTGCTTCAAGAACTTTCTGCCTCTGGAACTATTGAAGATAACGCTAACTGACCAGCAGGCAGGAAGGTAATGTAGGGCTGTATTAGTCCATTTCGCATTGCTATAAAGGAATACCTGAGGCTGGATAATTTATAAAGGAAAGAGGTTTATTTGGCTTAGTTCTGCAGACTGTACCAGCATGGTGCCAGCATACCCTTCTTGTGAGGCCTCAGGAAGCCTCCACTGATGATGGAAGGCAAAGGGGTAACAGGTGCATCACAGGGCAAAAGAGGGAGCAAGAGAGATATCAGGTTCTTTTAAACAACAGCATTTGCATGAACTCACAGACTGAGAACCCACTCATTACCATGGGGAGTGCACCAAGCCATTCGTGAGGGATTCACCCCCACAAACGAGTCACTTCCCACTAGCCCTACCTCCAACATTGGAGGTCACATTTCAATATGACATTTGAAATGTTATCCAGGGCTCAACATTCCTAAGACCAGCAAAATCTGTGACAATCATAATCTAGTTCATGTTGAGGGGGACGTGACTAAACAGTAGGATCCTTAACTTCTGTGGCTAAGGAAACCAATGTGTTCAGTGATATTGCACCCAGCTTCCTGGTATATAATGAAAGGAACGCATGAAGGTTTCCACATAATGTTTCTACATAATGAAGAGAACCCATTTTCATCTTTTATTGCAAACAAGATGTGACTTTTCTCACAAAAGGGACCAATGCATAGTTTATTGACAGGGCAGACAGAGAATGTTACAGCTAGAGCCAGAAATGGCTGACCCACAAGGAAGAAGCAGAGGTCGAAAATACAGCCTCAGTCCTAAATTAGAAGCAGGCAAGCTGGAGAGCCTGGTGGCTCCATCCTAGAACATTCCATGGAAATCATCTGAAATGGCCTTGATACCTAAAGATAGTGCTTCAATAGAGTGCATGGGTTTAGCTAAAGACTTAGTAACGGTCCTCCCTGAAGCAAAACGCAAATGTCCCTTGGTAGAGGGTGTAAGGTTGAAGCCCTGTTGATGCAGAGGAGGACAAGTAAAATATAGAGTCTCCCTGGAATCCTGCAGAGCTCTATTTGAGGATGCACTACAAAATTTCTTCATATTTGTGGTTGAAACATTAACACCAAAACTTGAGTTAAACAAAAGCACAGAGTGTGTTTTAGAATCTTTGGGGGAAGGTGGTAGGACTTATGGTAGTTTCTAACACTAGTTTTAATTTTCCTATAAAACAGAATTTGAATTCAGTTTAGTAATCCTCTGTTTTACCTGTTATCAATTCTAAGATTTACTGGACCCAGTTCAAGCAGAGAGTTGTGCTACCTACTTTTTTCCCCCGCTTTCTGGACAAGATTTTCTCTGAAACATTTGAGTGCTTTGTTAAGGGATGATATCGCCGAGGGAGCGGGGCTGTAACTAATTACCTGTGGTCTGCTTAGATGAGCAGCGACACTTCTATTTTTCTCACCCCTTCCTACGTGCCAAAAATCACTAATGAAGCTGTACAAAGAGATATGACATGCCAGTGACTCCTTTTTCAATGGTATATGGAAAGAGAAAAAAACAAAACCCTTTGTTGTTGTGAGCTCTTGCTGGATATTTTGTCACTGCTGATTGTTAATTTCTGTCAGACAGCACTTTGGATGATTAATTGACCTTTCTTAGCACAAACAATAAAGGCCATTTAACGAATACAGCAGAAAGCAGAGAGCATGTTTTGTTGCACTCTGTTTCTATCACGGGTGATTCAACACCTTTCCAGCCGCCCCCTTTTCTGATCACACCTACCTGGGAAATCATCCTCCAAATACTTCTTCCGCTTCAACATGGATCCTCACTAGAGGGCTTCAACTCTGTTTGCAAATACTATTTTTGGAGTCACTAAGATAGATTATTTTACTCAGAAAATGTGTTGTTTATTAAGTGAAAGAAAGGAACAAAGCTCCAGCAGGAGGCTTCATTCATGTTTTCATTTCTAAATCCAATCTGGGCAGCAGTCGCTGCTACTACAGCTTGGGCGTGGTGGAGCCCAGTTATGTGAGAAACTGAACCTATTTTCCTGGTGCTGCTAGTATCTCATGTTATATCTACAGTTGGAACATTTTCTATATATGAAATACTGTAAGATGAAAAATGAATGATTTGATCCTTCAGGAACTCGCCATGTACTTATGAAGACAGCTATATACGCAGGTTTTTTTTTTTTTTTTAATTGTCCAGAATCCTGGCTCAGGTAGCTCATGCTCTGCCTTGCTTCCCTTGAAGCAGGTAACTCTCAATATAGAGCTCCTGCCCCAACCTTTCTCCTGAGCTCGTGGCTCATAGATTCATCTGCCTCCTGACTATCCTGTAGGCACCTCCAACAAACCATGCCTAACAGAACTCACCATGTTCCCTTCAAATTCACTCTTTTCTTTTTTCAGAGATAGGTTCTCCCTCTATTGCCTAGGCTGGAGTGCAGTGCCAGCGCAATCATAGCTCACTGAAGCCTCCAACTCCTGGGTTCAAGCCATTCTTCCACTTCAGCCTCCTGAGTAGCCATGACTACAGATGTGTGCCACCATGCCTGGCTAATTTATTTTTTATTTTCATATCGTAGAGATGAAGTCTTGCTATGTTGTCCAGGCTTGTTTTGAACTCCTGGGCTCAAGCGATCCTCCTATCTCAGCCTCCCGAAGTTCTGGGATTCCAGGTTTTAGCCACCGTGCCTGGCTCAAACCCACTCTCTTCAACCAAATTTCTTACCTCAGCAAATGGTGCATCATGTCACCTAGAGTCACTGGGCATCTGAGAATGCCTTCTGCTTCAGTACACAATTGGACTTATCCTTGGTCCTGTCAATTATGGTCCTCAACAACTATCCTTTCTTCTTCTCCATCCCTACACTGTGGCCTTATTTCATTTCCCTCTCCATCATTTCTTGCCTAGGCTTTTGCAACAATCTCCTAACAGATTTCTTAGTCTCTGACTCCTCCAATCTACTCTTCACCTTGCCTATAAGACTAATCTCTCTAAAGAGAAAATCTGATTCAGTTACTCTGTGGGTCTTTAAAATCCTTCAGTGATGGTGGATAAAGCAAAAACTCCTTTGTGGAGTATACAATTTCCACCAGATCTGGCCTGTGCCTGCCACTAGTGTGGGACTTGGCTGCATTCTGTGTTCTGCCTCTGTGCCTGGACCTCAGTGCCCCAGCCCCCTTGGTCCTTCCCACCTCCTCCCTTTCTGCCATCTGCACTCTTCTTCTGGGTACCTGTCTCCTTTAATATTTACTTACCTTTGGTCTCCCCAGTGAGTGTTTTCTGAGTCCCTGGGTAGATTTGGCCTCCTCCTGTGCCCCCGCTCCACCCTAGACTTGCTTCCAGCATAACACCCTAACATCACATGAATCTTACCTGCCAAAGGTCTGTCTT